TCAGGTAAAGTATGAAGGAGGGGAGGGGTGCCATCAGACCATCTAACTTAACACTAAAAGTTTCTTCGAGTTCCCATCTACATCTACATCGTGGCACATCGAAAATACTCGAGCGAATGTAAATTCATCCGTGACTTGATTTCATTCGTGATCAGATATCACCAACTAAATCTGAATTATACGGTGTATGTACTGTGAAAATTTACTTGGTAATAACTGTATAAGTGACAGCTCCATTCCTATACAATCATAATATCATAACATCATAATATTATTTATCATTAAAATGAATTATTTATGACTTATTGACAAATTTTATTTATTATTATAATTCAATTTAATAAAACTTTTAATGAAATTTAGATATTCAATTATTATGTGTATATTGATGATAAAAAAGTTCAATTCAACGAAAAGGCAATTTGATTTTTTTTTTTTTTGGTTTTTTGATTTTTATCTTTAATATTCGATATATTATCTGTATCAGCAGGCTTAGAATAAAACTTTGAGAATGGAGATCACAATGTAGAACGTGATAGTAATATGTAGGGATTTTCTCTCCGATTTATCAGCCTGGATGGAATACCAAATTCCATATATGTATAAGTTAATATATAAATATATGTGTGTTCATTATATGGGTATTAATATTTTGTTCGATCGACTTTTGCTAATAATAATGGAAAATATCCTTTACAAAGAACGGATCATCGTCGTTGTAATAACATGATAAGGAGAATTATGTGACTCGGCAGCAGGTGCCAATTTATATGCTAATAAGTATATATATTTGTGGTTTTATAAAAGAATTGAAAACTCAATCAGACTTTGGTATTGAAATTTATCAAGTTTATTTTTTAACAAAAATTTCATAATTGACTTTTATAAATAAATTTTAATTAAAAAGATACACCCATCAGACAAAGTCTTATCAAATAGAATATATATATATATATAATATTCATTTATATATAGATCTGATGTCTTTATGCATAAAATTAACCGAACCCTAAAATAATTTGAAAATAATTAGTGCCCAGTGTAAGAGCTAACGTTTAAACCTTTAACCCTTTAAAGTCTTGATTTGTAGGATTAACGGGTAGGAAATATAATCCACCGGGCAGTATGAAAATTTAATTTGCTACCGAGTTTATATATACAGAGTACCGAGCGTTAAAGTAATACAACTCAAAAATAGTTGTATATTTCTATTATATATTCTCTTCTATATACTATTCTATCTTTTGATTTGTGCATATATATTTTTTTTTAATTTTCAACATATCCAGTTATTTATATATGAAACAATATGAAATTGTCATTGTGAGTTTATAATTTGATAATCGGACGGATTGTCACTGGATACAAATTCTAAAAAGATACAAGATCGAAATAAACGTGATAAAGTTCTCAATTATTATTAACACCTTTACCATTATTTTATATTTTTGTTTTAATATCTTTAAACCCAAAAATAGAAACACCCTCAAATAAATTCTAAAAGCATAATGTCAATAATTAAAACTCTGTGTCATAATAATTATAGATACTCTAAAATTAAATGGAATAAATAAATAAATAGATCCTCGATTTTTTTTGCTCCTATATTTATCATAAAAAAATTAAACAACTCGAAGACGATAGTACTTTGATGGCGCCACCTTAATTTTGAATTTTTAGATAAAACAGTTTCGCATTTAGTCCGGCCGGTAAGCCTGCTTTATTTTTTTACCTACCCTTGCAAAGTTATCATATGATATAAAAGCTTGGTCGCGTCATGCATCATCTACAGTAATAATAAATTTCTCTGTAGATAATATACAATAGCTGTTGATGGTGATATTGTATGTATTATTCATCATAACTTTATAATTTTTAATTTTTATATAAATATTACTAATACCTTGAAATAATAGTAGAGTGTTGATTAAAATAAATAAAAAATATAAAATCATGACTTATGAGTAAAAAGTCATACAATAATTTAATTTATAGACAAATGACTTATAGGACAATTAAATTTCCAAAGTAATTATCTCAATGAGTTACAATTTATAAATTAATTAACTCGACTGTTTGATTTAACTTTTCAACTATCAAAGCTTTAAAAAGTTTATCTCTATTATTATAAAGTTTAATGATAATGACAGTCGTCTGTTAATTTAGCAAAGAATAAATAAATAAATTTCAATAGAGCAAATAGTTGAATGGAAATAACTATCATTATTCTATACAATACAAGGTATCGCTAAACATTTTTTATTTTATTTTTTCTCATCTCAATCAACAAATAAAAAAAAGTCTGCTCGATTCATCAAATATCCCGTCCTAATTTCCGTCTAATGAATAGAGCTTTAAATACACCCACACAAATTCACAATATATGCGTCCCTAAATTATTTCGTTCATCAAAAACTTGATTTCTAGCTCATGTTATATTATTATAGTTACTTCATCAATTATCTACTAATGATGATCTCTGCACTCTTATCATGATCCAATCTATATTTTTTTTTTCTCGTAATGTTTACGAATGATTTTGTATGATGAATGAGACTCTTGTATTGAGTATCGTATATAAAATTACAACATCCCTAAACACGAATTTATATCTAAAGTATAGTATTTTTCTACTAATACTTATCGTTAAAAATGATAAATTATGACATCTCTTGCTCTTTGACAGAAAGACATGTTATCTTTATATTGATTGCCAAAAGTAGTAAATCGTGTAAATTGATTAGAAAAAAATTAGGCCAACACGATTAATTATTAACGAAATTGAAACCCAAGTCCAATCACCGGCTATTATCATTATGGACCCTATATAACTTGGGAGTATAAACAAACTTAAAATCAACAAAAAAACTTTTATATAAAAACTAAATAATTCAAATTCGAGTGAATTCCAACATGAATAAAATCGTAATAGATAATAAATAAATAAAATAATCGTTAAAATGATTTTATGATATACAAAAGGACATTTACATGTTATGAATATAATAAAGATGAGTGAGTAGAGATGGGTTGAGAGGTTGAGAGGTCGAGGGTGAGTAGTATAGAGGTTGCGGACAAGTATACTTGTATCCGTACTATTATATATACTACTACCTGTTGAACAGAAAGTTCAAACCCTCGGTGGCCTCACTGTAAGACACTTACACATTTACGTCCCTAAATTATATTATATTATATTATATATATTAAACGCAATTATCTTGTATGCTTATTTATCATCATCTTATTCTCTTCATTATTACTATTATTAATAATATTATCATTGGACCTTATGAAAACCATTTATACTTTCTATGATTATCTTTGTTACAATGTAATTAAATTAATTAAATATTATCAACTCATTTAACAAATTTATAAGTTATAACAAAGTAATTGCTAAATTTCAACTCATTAATTATTCTTTCATTAATATTAATGTATTCATCAGTATAATTTAATCCATTTAAATCTTAAAAAAAATTGAATTTTTGTTGTAATGTACAACAAAACTAAAAATCGTAATCGAATTAATTTCAAAAGTTTTTTGTTCCTTTTCATAACAACTATCACAATGAAAAGGGTCAATAATTTTAGTATTATACTTGGTAAACTTTTATCATTCAAGTAGGACAAAAACATTCAATTAATTACTTGAAAGTATAAAATTTTATTGAATACATTCACACAATAATTTAATTGATTTAATAAAGTGGAATGTCGAAAAATAAATTAGTATCTGACGCTTATCCATTATTAACGCTAATAAAAACCATGACAAAATGTCCCAGTCTTTTATTAGGCATCAATATAAAAACATGTTGAGATTTTTTTTATTTTTTTAAATATTCCGGATGATTTGTAGATCTGAATCGTTATTTACTTATAATTTTTATTTTCGATTAATTGCTTTTTACAATATTTTAATATTGAATAATAACACACCGGATGTTATGTATTATTATTATTATTATTATTATTATTATTTATTATTAATATCAGCGATAGATACACGATAATATACTAATTTGCATAATAACAAAGAAATATCGATAAGCTTTTATTTATTTTATTTTGGTTTTTCATTGGGGGAAAAAAAATACGTAGGTATTATATTTACAAATGAATGTAGTGGTATTGTATGAAAGCATTTAGAGGAAAGGAAGACGTCTTGTTAAATGGCGCCAAACGTCTAAATGAATAAATGCACCTCAACAATTTATTCAAGTTTATGTACTCCATTCACGCTTTGTAATTCAACTGATACAATACTACTTTTATTTTTTTCAATAATGCTAATTTAAAATACTCTATTAACTATTTTATTATTATTATTATTATTATTATTATTATATTTCAACTTGTGAAAATAATTTCTTATCATTTAAAAATATCTATTGAATAGAGTTGTGAGAATAAAATGAACGTAGTTTTGAAGAGATATATAATTTTAAAAGGGTTAACAATTTATTAATATTTATTTAGGTAAGGCTTTATTTGGTTATTTGACTTAACTAAATGTATATGACCCGTTCAATAAGTTGATTCGTTTTTTTATTTTGATATAGGTATATATTGTAACGGGATAATGTGTGTTAACCCTTGGTAATAAAACCTGTAATAATGAAATATGATCAGTGGGGTTTAATGTACATGACCAAAACAGCAGGATCGATGTAATGTTATATATACAAAGAAATATAACTTTAAAACGGTTATCATGTCAAAAAATATTGGAACTAAACGGCAATGTTTAAATAAAGGTAAAGTCTTTTTTCTATTTACCCTCTTGTAGTCTTTTACCTACTCTTAAATTTACAGAGGTATTATATAGTATTATTTTGAATCCTTTTGGCGTGAAGGCGAGCCAGCCAGGATTCAAGACTTTTAGTTTAAAAATTTTCTTTGATATCCTGGTTCATCTTCTTACTCCCATCTACTCTTTACTATTTTTTTTTTATTCATATACAGTCATTTTTATTCCAAAATATTAAAACCCGTTAATACTTAAATAAAATATATAGATTGTTAAATAAAAATACATACCTAGCAAAAAATGCAGCAGCAGCACTTGATTGAGCGGGTGTACCAGGAGCACCACTGACAGTATATGCATATTTTGTTTCTTGAAATAATGGCAAAAGACAATTTGATTTTTGATAATTATAACGATTACTATTACTACTACTACTACTGTAATGATGATGATGATGATGATTATTATTGTAGTAATAATAATTTTGATCACTGTACTTGTTAACATTATTATCACATTGTACAACACTTTTATCGGTTAACTTTGATGTATAATTAAGTATTGATGATTTAGAATGGGTTTTATCATGATTAGTGACTCCTCCAATAGGAAAATTATTTATTGGATAAACTACTTTTTCAGGGACTGCATATTGATGTGTTTTATCATGTATCCCAGCTGGTTTATCGATAACACCATAAGACTTAAATCCCTTAAGCTCACCGTAATACTTGATATTGTCTGCTTTATAACCAACCACGTGCCCATCATGATTCGTCTTTTTAATACAATCTTTTTCATGTTTATGGAGGATTGAATCACGATTATTGCCCCCTCGTATTTTATCATTATTGCTATCACTTTTGACTTTATCATTTTTATTATTAATCATTGTAATTGTTGTTTTATTATTACTATTACTATTAACTCCAACATTACTGCCTCCTGATGCTCCGCCAATTAATTTAACTCTGTCATATTTTTTTTCAAGTATATCGGGACAAATAACTCCACTGACATTAACACCCAGGATAATACCCCCGTTAAAATTATTACGACAAGATTGATCGGTTTTACTGGTGGTGGTGGTAGTGGTGGTGCTTGTGATAGTAGTAGTTGTCATACTACTATTTGTTATTGTTGTTAGTCCCGGTGGTGCTGTTGTTTGCTCTGTAAAATTATGTTGAGTGGTTGGCTCTTTTGAATTATCAGTTGTTACTTGATTAGAGTCATCTATTATTTGTTGTTGTTGTTGTTTATTTGTTTGTCGATGACGTGTCATGGCACCACGTGTTACTTCTCGCGTAGTTGGCGTGATACTGACTAGATTAACAGGCGTCTCGCCAACACTCCCGCTACGTATCCCCACTTGCCGTCGTCCCTTCTCTTCCTGTATTTTGTATCAAAATGATAAAAAAGGATATTTTATTTCATAATAAAAAAAAATAAATGTTGTTTAATAAATAATAAATACTTACGGGAATTTTTTTCAAGTCATCTCTTCTTATAACATCGGAATATTTAGGAGGATCTTGATAGTATCTAGGTGCAGGTTGTTCACACCTCAATGAATCCCGAGGAGGATATTCTTGGTATTTTGGCGGCCTATCTAATTGACGATACTTGTATGAGACTTGAAATTGTTGTTGTTGATGATGATGTTGATTCGATGATATTTGTCCAATATGACTGAGATGACACTCATCATCTGACTCATTGGTTGTTGATTTAATAAATTGTTGATTTATTGACAGTGCTCCATTATTAATCTTTGAATCAGATTTGTTAACGTGAGTGTGCTTTCCACTTTTATCACGTTTGTTATTTTCATCTTTACCATCTTTTTTATTATTATCATCAGTGACTATTGTTGTGGCGTGTGTTTCGTACGAAATATTTTTATCATCCGATCGATGACATTTGCTGTGACGTGTATCGTGTTTACCAGGTGGATCTATTTGGTAGTAGGTTAAATCACCACGTAAATTTTGTGATTTTGATTTTACTTCATGAGGTAATAAGTACGAATGCTGTTTATTACTATCACGTTCTGACTTTAATTGATTACGAGGATATTTATCGTCGTATAAATAGCTGACGAAATCATTTGACTGGGATGATAGTGTTTGACTTATTGTTCCAAGCTTTGTTGAATTTTGCTGAGTTGACTTGTACTTTTCTTCAAACTGTGAATAATTATAAGTGCTGAACCCAATTTGATTAAAATTATGGCTTAAATTTGCTGAATCGTAATCTGTTGATGTAACAGCTTCCATATTTATCTGTAACAAATATTAATTAATTAATTAATTAATTAAAAGATTATTGTTGTAAAAAAAGAAAAACATTTTTAAAAACAACAAAGTTTAAATTAAAAAGTTATAAAAATCAAGAATAAATAAACAAATAAAAAAAAATAAGCAAATAAAATAAAAGGTGTAAAATAACAAGCTTAAGGAATAAGAGACAAAGTTATAGTACCTTTACGACAAGAACATGATAAAATGATAAAAGAGAAAAAGAGAGAAAGTTGTTGAACCGTAAAAGAGAAAATCCACCAACTGGATAAAACGACAATCTCTCTCGGTATAGCCAATACCGCTGAGGATTTGGATCACTCATCTTTATAAAATGAAACCTTTTTTATTAAGTCAAACCTCAACTTTTATTCTACTAATAACTGATACTGTTATGGAACTTGGAAAAAAAAAAAAAAAAAAATAGTACAATAATAATGATACTGTTGAAGAATTAGAATAAGGGTTGACGAGAATGACTTAATGTCAACATGAGCCAAGAGGGATGACCTTTGTTATATTATAAAGGATATTCCTAGATGCACCTGGTACACCATCATTTCTTCTCTACAATTTACACCCTCGTATTTATACCAGACACATATATATCAAACATATATATATTTGTATACATTTCTCTTTTCTCCCTTGACTCGTCGTTATACTTATAATATCGATGTTCAATTTATTACAGAGGTATTGAGAGTAAAGAGAACTATATATAAAGTAAAAATTATTTTTAAAAAATATATTGTCACTGTGAAAAATAGAGAGGATTAAAATATAAAGTTTAATCTATTGATTTACTGTTAAACATTTATCATCTCTACACTTTTACACTCAGCTACGGAATATTTATTTGAATTACTATTTTACTTTTCAATTTAATCCGAGGAACAAAAATAATAAAAATATAAAAAAGGAGTAGAAGAAGAAGAAGAAGAAGAAGAAAATATAAAGAACGATTAATATTTTGTAGAGACTTATTTGTTTTCTTTTGTCGGAAACTGATTGAAGTTGATAACAAAAGCTCGAAGAAGCAACAACAACAATAACAAAAAAAACAGCAGTATATGCATATACCTAAAATGAAAATCCAGACATAACATCAGGAATATGTCGAGTTTTAGGTATTATATATACATATATAAATCTACAATATTTATGTGACCACGACAGAGAAAATAAAAATAGTTGATTCCTCCTTTATCACTTTCACCACTTTCACCACCTACTACGTCTTCTCATTCTCTTCATTTTACATTGCTTTACTTTTGGGAATCCTCAACATCTCAACAACAGTCAACATGGCATTTTTAGATTTTTTATTTTCTATATTTACGCACTTGCACGCATAAAAATTCCAGTTCACTCGTATCTTTTTTCTCTGTTCTCAGTAGTATAGTAGTATGTAGGGTGTACACAAAAGTGCGAATAGGCACGCCTGCGTTGGCTCTTTAATCTTCATGGATCAAAATTATGGGGGTTGGAGGGTTTCAGGGTTGGAGGATTGGATGTAGTGAGAGACTGTACTGTGCTGTTACTGTACTACTTCCACTTGTACTCTACTGGCTCAATACATCCAGTCTTAACCAACACAGATGTATAATATTACTACTACGACAAGTATACTAACAACACCGAGTACAGAGTGAGGGGAAATCTCTCGGTCCTTTGGTTTAAGAACACGATTGCTTCGTGAATTCAAGTGAAACCCTAACAGCATTTCAAAGAAAAATTTACAAGCCGCAGAAAAAAAATGATTATAATAATAATAATAATAATAATAATAATAATAATAATAATAATAATAATAATAATGACAACTACAAAAAATTGCATTGTAATTAAAATTTAACTTTTGAGATATGAATAAAATACATTTAAGGCGCTTTAGATCTTTTTATTTTCTACTTAATACCTTTTTTACTACACTGTTAAAAGTAAAGAACACTAAAATTTATACAATATTCTTAAAATTACATTTTATTTTATTATTATTATCATTATTTTAAAGACTTAAGGATCAAGGTATGTTGCAAGCTTCAAGTCGCGACAATTTTTTTTTACCACAGTGCTAAAAAGTAAGCCGTTTTTTTTTTCTTTTCTATTTTATCCCGCAAGTACAACTGTCTTTCTTCAGTTTTTCAGTTTTTAACTTTTACAGGTATATTGTATACATACTCATTCGCAAACTAGATGTTACCTACAACGTACTATATCTACTTGATTGTTGAACTCGAGTGAGCGAAAAAGTTGAAGAAATAGGTGAATTAAAAATGAAATATAAAAAAATACTACAGTAATGTTGGTTGGGGTTGGTATCTTATTATTTTTTTCTTTAACTTGTGTCTTATTATGTACTATATATACGTGTGTCGCGTGATGTAATTATTACATTTACTTCTCAAGATGCATTACTTTTGTTGACATTATATTATATATATATACACTATTCCGCATTATAAATATAAACAAAAAAGGAAAAATAATTAAAAAATTAACATGATATGTAAAAAGTAGTTGTAGGATTGAATAGAAAAAATAATTATCATATTCACATCCATAAATTTAAATTTAAATCTACTGATACAGATAATCAGATATAATAATTAAACCACAATATAATTAAGTAGATATTAAAATACGGGAAAAAATTTTTTAATAATAAGCTATATGAAAATGCAAGCAAGCAGGTAAAAGTGAATAATCGATACCCGCATTATATTATTCACTGACGGTGATGCAACTCTTATTCAACTTTAAAATTAAGCTCTCAGTGTCCGTTATATTGTACATGGGATATATCCTGTCTGTGTTATATATCATCAAATGAAAGACCGTCCAGCAAATAATCGCCCGTATTATAATTTTTCTTTATTCTATTTTTTATGAATTTGTTTAATTAATTAAAAACAAAAAAAAAACGAATAATAATGATAATAAAGAATAAAAGCAGCGATGCGAAAATTAAATATTAGTTAGGGTACAAATAAATAGTATATATTTAATCAGAGAAAATTTTCGTGTATACTGTTGGTATGAGAATAAAACAAGTAGAATGAGTAGATGAATCAAGCAAATACTCTGTCTAATGGAGTGAGAAGAAAATGCCACAACAATTTCCCCATTGGGGACCTTCTCGTTTTGATTCACTCTCTTATATATGTGTATAAACGAATGGAAAATTTAATGAAAAGGATAGACTACATAACAACCCTCACCAAAGAAAGACATCTAACCCTCTATTCATTCATTCAAATATATTTTATATTTTTATATTGTATAGGTATATAACATTTGTATTATACTTTTTGTTAATACTTTTACTTTATATACAATAAATAAAATTATAATATATATTTAAGATTTCTAAAAACTTGTTAAATTAAACACTTAACCGTTAATATTAATTTTTAAATAGTTGCTTCATTTTATCTTCATAAAAAGTTTTTTTTTCTACTCTAGTCTTATTAATTCTTTATTTATATAAAAAATAAATATTTTTATAATATAATTAAAAAATTAAGTGGGACTTTTTAAAGGTAAAGATAAGGTAGAAGCTTAAAATTAATAAAAATATTGTGGAAAATAAAAGGAATAAAAAATAAAGATGGTCTTTGAGTTTTATCGTACTTAATTATTTATATTTTTATATAAATTTACTGTTGAAATTATATTTATTTTTTAATTTTTTCTCTCTTTTTATATATCATACAATTTATTGATTAAATATATATATATATATATATATATTGAATTGATGGTTGAAACAATAAATTAGAATTGATAAAGCGTAAAATTCACAAAGAAACAAAGAAATATTAAACAAACTGAAATAAATTCTTTTGCCCGAGACACATTTTATTATGATTATTTACTCTTTGCTATTCATGTATAAATGCCGTATTGTCTACTCCTTTTATATCTCACACCTTTAGTTAAAAGGAATAATAAAATTAAAATAAAACAATGGTAGTATAAAAAAGAATAATTCTTTATTTATTTTTTTTTTCTGATTGGACATTCGCGTTTCCATTTAATCCCGCTTTTCTTTCATTTTCATCACTTTCACCAATGTTTACTGAATAAATTGTACAAAACTCTGGTCGTGAGTTTTAAAAAACAAAAAAAAAAAAAAAATAAATGAATGAAAAAATAAAAAATTACTGTTGTTTTCATGTTCACAGATAGATGTCAATCGATGTGACTATTTTAAAGCGACTAAAATTTTATCCATTCAACGGGAGATATTTATTTATTTAACGGTTTTTATTTTTACCGATTACTTTACTACATTCAAATGAAAAATGATTAATTTTGTTTTAATCAATCTTTCTGTTAAAAATAATCTCTACTGTAACTTATGTCATTTCAATTAAAAAAAAAAAAAAAGATTCTTTGTCTAAGATTAAAGAATAGGGATAAATTCGAAAATTGCTGACTTGGATATAAATGCGGACGTAACATGAAAGACGTTAGCGCTTTTTTTTTTATACACGACACAAAGTAGCACTTTGCCAAATGACTCGAAACTTTTAGGGTGTAGAGATGTGACTTTTGAACAATTGTACCTTTCGGTTTTTCTTTTTTTAAATAGAATAACGAAAGAAAAAAAAAAACAAAATCTATAGAGAATAATCGCTTCACTTAAAATTATATAGTTATTTTTTAGCTTTCAAATAGTATCAATTGTTTCTAAAGCCGATATTTTTAATTAAACTTTTAAAATATTCAATAGTTAGTTAATTTAATAAAGGATAAAGATTTAAAGATATTTAAAATACATTAAGGAACAAGCGATGATAGAAAAAGTTATGAGTGGATTACCACACGGGCTCTGCACCCTAAATCTTCTGTTATCCATTAAATATACTTTTAGTATATGTATACATACACAATTTATATGTATTTATATAAATCTCATAGGATATAAAAAGTATTGAAACATTGCTATTATACTTATACATATATATAAATATACTTTTAATAATCTTTTTGATGTGTGGAAAGCTATATGCAGTAGATGTAATATAAATTTGAATGATCTCTCCCTTTATCCGTTGCGAAATCGAAATCCGACTTTAATCTTTCCCGACGTATACGTACTTGTCACCAAATGGATTTAACTTGTCATAATATACTCGAACTTGAGTACGTTTTATTGATTTTACTTTTTTTAATCACCACAATAATTGATTGAAACAATAACTTTATTTTGTTATTATTATTATTAAAAATAAAATTGAAAAATACATCACACGAGAAAGCAGTAGTTGGACCGGATTAATCACTCAATTTACTAAAAAATCTATAACAGTTAGTTATAAAAGTAAAATATTCACCAGACATTGGCAAAAATAAAATGAAAAAGATTTTGGTTTGATAAAAAAATTATAGGTAAATAATTTATTAAATCTGGAAAAAGTTTATGTGAGGAATAACGATGGTTTGGTTTTAAGAAAAACAAAATTAAAAATTAAACAAGGTCTTTGCATTAAATAAAAATATATTATTAATTATAATGCTTAAAAATCATGTCAAAAATAATAATAAATATGATATTTTTTAATTATTAGATTATTACCATTGAGATCAATCGCGGATTTATCCATACTTGTTGCATATTATCATCAAGATAACGTCTGGCTATTTTACCAATATTACCGTGTGATTCTTTTTTCTGTACGGGCGGAATTTGAGAAATTTGAACATTGCTGCTGTTTCTGTAACAAAAATTTAACAATAAAATAAATTATGATGTAAATAATAATTCATTGCTCAATATTATATTTATTTTTTCTTATACAAAAATATATCATCTTTGTTTTGTTTTTAACAACATACTTGATTATCGATACAATGGAAATTAATATTACTCCTTTGTTATTATTATAATAAAATTCTTTAGTGATGTAGGTTTTGATGAAAGTTTAGGAGTATGTAAGACTCTTGAAACTCGATTTATTCGACAGCGCAGACAACAAGTAGAGTAGTTTTATTAACTTTTTCTCAAGGGAGGAAAAAAGCGAAATGCGGTAAAACCAGGTGGATTGTGGATTGTGGATTGTAGATTCCAGATTCCAGACGGCATGTCAGGCTCAAGAGAATTCCACAATGTTTTCATATCCTATACAAACATTTTTTTTTTTTTTATACATATACATGTATATTTAAATATATTCGAGTTAAAATTAAACCTTAGAGCACTGTTATACCGAAAATAATAATAATAATAAATTCAACTATAAATTAATTTATTTAAAATTTGCTATTTATGTTAAATTATTTATTGCTATCAAACATTATTATATTTTCATTTGCTGTTTAATAATTTAAACTCAACTTGTTAAATTATTTAAGTTATCGAACTATAATATCAATCGTTATAAAGGAATAATGGAATTATCATAACTGGGTGGTGGTTATTTGGAGCAGAACTTGCAACTACAGTACCGATGATGAGCTTTTTTTTAGCCTACTTACCATCAAACAAAATATCAGAGAACTGTAAGCGAGAGCTTTCTAACTATATAATAATAATATAGATGATGCTTTTCTTTCAGTCGGCAAGTACTCAGTGCTTTTGTCGATAATACAGAAAACATTATTTTTAATTTTATCGGCAATAAATAATCACATTGTTTTTATGAAAATTAATAAATATAAAATAATAACCCACAATTGTTTCTATTTAAAAACTTGGATAAAAATTTGATTATTACTATTGTTATTTATTTTATGAATAATATATACCGAGAAGATATGATAAAGTTTAATAAGTTCAATCAAAACTTATCCGATTGAGTGATCGAGTGACATTTCTTATTATATAAAATTTCATTTTTATTAATATAATTTCTAATTAAATTCTTTTTCACAAATATTTCAATTTTATCATTATTATTATTATTATTATTATTACTTGAATGATAGTTATTTTATTAAACGAAATTTAAATTAAAAGTATTTTATTATAAAAAGAAATTATTTAATGTCTGGTAAGCATTAACGTACGTAAAATGATTTAACAATTGTAATTCATTAAATTTAATCAGTTGAATGATTTTCAATAGATATTATAAAAAAGATAACAAGAAAGCTTTTATCGTACCATAAAATTTCAAACGTCCTCTAATTATTGATTTGTATAAAAATATAATATTATATATATATATTATATTACATTTATAAATCGTAATTAATTATATTATATTTTAGTTAGGAGTATAATATTGCGAGACATAGATTAACTCAACAATTTAATGGTAATAACAGTAATAATGCATTCTCTTTGATTCAATTTAAATATACATTAAAATTTTAATTAATTAACGCAAAGCCCGCATCATTAAATCTCGTCTACTATTTTATTTAATACTATTCAGTGGGATTCAAGGGTCCGTGTTTACTCTATTAAATAAATTAAATTCATTTATAGAAATATATATTATACTCAATAAGTAAATATATACTAAAATTATAATTAACAAATACTAATGACTTATTTTTTAAATTTTTAATATAAAAAAATGTTTAATATACAGATATATTATATTATAACTGTTAAATCTCATAAATGTATATGATCGAACGGTATCCTTATCTTTAGTATATTATAGTAGAGTGTAGACCATACCAGAACCAGACAAGTGGCCACTCCATGTACCCTACTTGCTCTATTATGCCTCGTCTTCAGTTTTTCTTCTCATCCCTCATCCCTCATCTGTACTATATACTCTCCCTATACTCTTTACTCTTTACTTTTTATTATAGATGAATTTATCTATTTTTATCAATATATTTAATATTTTATATTACATACTTTTTATAATAAATTTAATTTTTAATATTATAATAATAATAATTAGTGATACCATTAATATTGACGTTTAAGTAAATAAATAAATTATTACTATGACTATTACCTTTGTTTATTATTATTAACAATTGGCATAGGAGTTGGTATTCTCGGCGGAGGTACAGGAATAACTTTCCGTTTTCCATTGACAGATTGATGAATTGACGGAGTTAAACGACCGGTTGGGGCTATTCTTCCAGCCGTACACGGTTTATCTGATCTGAGGTCCATTTTTATTAATCTGTAACTGGATCAAAATAATTTATAAATTTATAAATTTATGTTAATTAGAATAAGCGCAAAAACATAATACATATATAGTGACAAGTGATGAAACTCTGTGACACGTATGCCTACGGATTCATTAGCAAAGTGACAGACACACTTGAGATTTACTAAGACCTTCCTTTATATATAGTATGAGTATCTACAGTATAGTACCTGCAGCAGTATATCACACACATGAAAAAAAAAAAAATAATTTTATGCCTCCGTTTATTTATCTCACTGCTATAGACAGATACAAAATTATAATTTATATTAATTATAATTATAATATCAATATTAATTTTCATTTAACTGTAAATAATTTTACAACTTGAAATAAAAAAAAAAAAAAAAAAAAATTTCTATCTCTTATATATATTACATAAATTTAAAGTCAAGTACTACATAACAGCAGTAAAAATTTTTTTGGAGTAAATAAAAAAATAATGAAGAAAGAGTTGAACTTGAAATAAAATCTGGAGTTAATCCAGACTTGTTGATACCCTTCTCTTATATTTAGCACTTGTTCTTCTTCATCTTGTTAAATGTTTTTTTTGTCCTTTTTTTTTATAATTAGTCTCCTTATGGATAGTAATTCTCGGAATTATCCCACACCGAACAAATAACCCATTATATATTATATGTATATCAATACGTCTCAATTTTCTTTCTTTTATCCGGGACATGTGATCGTAAATTTTGGTGAAATAAATTAAATAATTATTAAGTTACTAGTGAATTTCATGTTTATTATTTTCTTGCTGTCTGGACTTTTATATTAAAAAAAAAAAAAAGAAAAATAAAATAAAAGAAAAAAAAAAAATAATAGAGAGATGTGTTATATGTGTTTTCACAAGGGTAAGAGCGACCTCATTGAGAAAATGACCATGTACAACATGTACCTGGTGTACTCTCTTAAGATGAACATTTTACAAGTATTTCCGATGGAAAAAAAAATTAAAAAAATACTTGTATGTGTAGTCTATGTTACTTGAAGAAAAAAATACATCTTTTGCGTTTTAAAAAAAAATGAAAATTAAAAATGTTGACACAATTGTTCTTCGAGGTTAATGTTTTGGCAAGGAAAAAAGAAAAAATTTAAAAAAGACATTGAATTTATTGTTTATTTTTAAATTCACCAAAACAATTTCATTAATCCAAACAATAAAAAATATATAATATAGAGACATATTATGAAACCGCTTAATCTCTTAAAACTTTTATACCCAAATGTCTTTTGTAAGAGTTTTATTTGCTGATTTGTGACCAAAAAACAAACAAAATAGAAAAAAAAGACTATTTGATATGGATCCAACCAACACATACATACACACACACACATTGAGAGAAAAAAAATGAGAGCAAAAGAAAAGAGAGAGAAACAGACTGAATTGTTGAGTATCTGCTTAGCAAATTGAAAAAATAATCACGTTTTCGCAGTAATATTGTCGCGAGCTAGCGAATGAGAACGCGTGTAATACAATAACCCACCCTGAAGTCAAAACAATGAAAATGTAAAAAAAAAAAAATCGTAATAATAATAAAAATAAACATAGAAAACAAAACGGTGAAATAAAGATACTCGGGCTGTTTCTATTATCTGGATTGGGGAGTGTTAAAAGAAGAGCGAGAGTGTATGTCACAAATAAATATATGTGTATGTCAGTATACAAGTGGTAGACAAGTATAAATGTATACATGTATACCAGTGCAAGTGGTGATATGCCATATATCAGTGGTGCAAAAAACAATGTGCCATGTAGACAAGAGATGTACTGAGTATACAGAGTCATTCACCCATCTACAATCATCTACCATCCACCACCCTCTAGCTCTTCTTATCTTCAACTCTGACTTTACTCTTACTGCTATCCAGCACAGTTACAGAATCACAGAATCAAAAGTTACTGAGTGCTTGCCCTTATACATCATATTTATTCGCCTGTGAAAAAAAATTTTAAAGTTAAATATCATTTTTACACGTTAATAAATTGGCGTTTAATCATCAAAAATATATATAACATTACTCGGGCTTCTAAGCAGCCGTTAAAAAAAAAATCATTATTATTCATCAAGTGAAAAAATAGATTTTATTTTACTATCAGTATTACATTACGTTTTACGTTGGTTGATATTGATTGACTGACTTGGCATTAATTTAATTTAAAGTTAAAAGTATCTTTTAACAATTAGAATTTAAATTGTGATATCGTTTGTCACTTATTAAAGTCCTGTTAAACAGTGAAAATGACACAGTGCTGACGTCAACACATGAAGCCGAAACTTTATCATAGATAATAGCTGGCTAAAGAGATTCTATTTCAGACATAGATCACTGCTAAAATTTGGATGGTTAGTGAAAGTACAACCTTTCCTTTTACTTTTACAGATCCACGGTAGAATAGTAGTAGTAGTAGTAGTAGTAGTAGTAGTAGTAGTAGTAGAGGATTAAATGTCCGGTCAACCGAACTGTCTAGATCGATTATCAAAGACTACAAAGACCAGAATCATTTACGAATATCCTTATTAATAATTGGGAGACATTTCAAGTACCTTTACTTTTTTCTTATACACTTTTATTCATAAAACTTTATTCTATTGTGACTAACTTAATGTTTGCTTGATAATATCAACTAACGTGTATTTTGAATACTAAATTATACCCATAAACTATTATATCTTAATAACTTGACAAATACAGTAGCTATATGCAGTACATTATCATAAAAATGATGACGTTTAGAAAAATTTAATTTGTTTTAAATAATAGTTATCTATTAAGTAATAATAATTATATATAACATCGCGGTATATAATTTTCATTAAAGGAAAACATTGTTCCCTTGTTGGTATATTATTTTGATTTAATTAAACTCAATATTCTGGAGTTATATATAGCGGTTATATATAGGGTTATGACGGTCTATGTCTAGTCTGTATTTATGTTATTAATAATAAATTATATACCTCACTGAATGGGGCATTCAATGAATATTTCATACAACTAATAATATTATTATTAATATTTTCTGCTTGGCTTGTACTAAGAGGTAATATCCTATCCGAATTTCTATCTGAACGGATGCTTCTGGATCTCAATCTGGTTCTGTGTTTCGGTTTATAGATATGGATATACAGATTTTAAGGATACTAACTAACTTGAAGAATATCCAACTATACCAGATCTGAATTGGATAGTAAAGAGCTATAATTCCATGGATAAAACCATTTGGTTTTGCTCTACTGCACCACCATCTTCTTTTAATGCTTCTTGTTTATTTAGTTTTTCTTTATTTTTACAAAGATTATATCTGTATATTCTATAGCTACACTACGATCTCTTACAGATCGGAATTACTATTTTTTATGACCACACTAGCCAGTTTATATCCCTATTTATAAGGATTAAATCATCGTTAAAAATATTATTCTTCTATGAAATTTATATGATATCTATTTTTCGTTGATCATTAATTTTTTATATATAATTCCATATAAAATTCATATATAATATTAGATAGATAATTATAATTGTTGTTTTTAGTATAAAAAATAATTATTGAAACTTATCGCAGTGAAAAGGTATATAAAGGTTTTTAATATGAAGAGATATAGAGATTTTATTACGTTGACTAAAATGTGTTATGTTATGTATCATATGGCATACTATTTCAATTAAACGATAATATCAAGGTTCTTAGAGCTTGAATAGACTAGTCAAAAGCATATCTGTACTCTATGTCGGAAATATTCATATTATATACGTATTATATGTTTATCCGTCTCCCTTATTCCTTATCCTTTACGTTAAACCTCAATAAGATGGCGATCACTATAGGTAATAAATTTCTCTACCGGAAATTAGTCTAGTCGAAATATAGTGGTATTAATAAAAAAAAAAAAAAAAAATGAATAGAATAGTCATGTTGAAATGCTGAAAGAGACAATTGATGAAAGAGCAGAAATTAAACAAACAGATAAATTTTTTTATGCGATTTAATGTCACCGGCAAACTATAAATCAGTATGTACAGAATGCATACGTGTATCGGGCATGCAGTACTGCTATCATTTGTATTGAGTGACATTTGATACAGGATAATATATATATACAGATACAATATATATATATTTTTCTTTTTTTATTTTTCTGTATTTGTTTAATTAATATATGATTAGAATAAATTATTTTATATATTTGTAACATGTAGTAATGTGTGTGATATACATCAATCTCGATTACATATATTCATATACGTATACTTTTATATGCCATACACAAGCATGCAATGCTGATTATCAAATAATTATTCATCGTATATATTAAATTTAGGAATAATTAATACAACCATGTAGAAATGATTTTAACAATTTGTGATTAATTTATAATTACGTTGAATTATTCATCTTTGTTGTATATACGATAATTATCAATTTCTTATTTTAATTCATATTAAATAATTAAATAAATAAATAATCTGCCAGTGTAAATGACCAAATAAAGAGTTTTCTTGGAAAATCATATAATTAAAAATGTTTTATATATAGGTGATTCACGTATGAGTAAAGTAATTCATCATCACTTGAGAAAAATAAACAAATTATATTAGTAGTATCAAATTAGTGTCATTATTTTTCGTATTTATATTATCAAAATAATGTAAGATACTTATTAAAAAAATAAAAAAATTGTTTTTTAATAATTTCAATAAATATCAAACGAAAGAAAAAGAAAAAAACTGTACCGGAATATATAGAGAGTTTATTCTGGTTGTGCAAAGGGGTTTCGAAACCCTTCTAAAGGTCATGTGTAATGGGTGAAAATGGATCGAACGAATAAGGGAAAAAAAGAGAAAGATGTATATAATCATCATCTGTATGTCGATGTACATACAGTAATAGACTACATAGTAGAGTGTTTATTCTCCCGTTTTAATACGGGCGTAATTATTCCGGCACATTCTC